TTACCAAGGCAATGGCTTGGGCACTCTGTTCTCCTCCTTTCTGTCCACATTTCCTACCCACACCCTTCATGACACTTCTCCCTCTTAAAGGGTGTGTCCAACTTCCAGAACACTGGTTTTTACACTTCGCTGCAGAAGTATCACTTGACTAGAGGCTGAGGCATCTGTATTTTAAACTAGTACCAAGCATTTCTAATGTAGATGGTCCACAGACCCTGCTCTGAGAAGCATTGCTTTCAGGACATTTTCCTGAGCCAGGGCCAGCTGGAAAAACACACTATGCATTTCCCTGTGGTGCCTTGTCTTGGGCAAGGTCACCTTTCCCGTGTATACTTTGTCCTCATCTCAGACTGCACTATCCTATCCCAAGGTTTCCATTGTTTCATTCTCATCACTTTAACCCAAACGTGCTTCCACATCTTGTATTCATTGCCAAAGTAGAAATAGTTGGTAGCATCTTACAGTTCCCTCTTCTCTCATTCATTTGCATTTCATAGTAAGCATTACATTAAATGAAGTTATGTTGGCATATTAGCTAATGTGTAGAGGAGAATATGGTTAGGTGGCCCAGGGAAGGTTGACATGGGACCCTTCTAGGTCTCTTAGGAAGGAGACCAGTAGAGCTACAGGATGAGTGCTGGAATCCTACAGCCTGAGCTATGCCCTGGCCCTACCGTTTACCAGCTCTATAATGTTCAGGCAACTGCTTAACCTCCCTGAGCCTCATCTCTTCATCTGCACAGTTGGAGTAACAGTTTTATAGGGCTGCAGTGATGAGTAAACTCCTTATCACAGTGCCCAACACACGATAAGCATCCAGTAAATGTTAGCTATATTATTTATTATTCTGAAGTCACCTGGATTCAGTCACCGAATTAGCCTCTTGTTATTATACCAGTGTAGAAAAATGTGAGTCTCTAATCTAGAGAAATTTCTCCTATGTGATTGTTAAAGCCCAAGAGGAAGTAATCAACTAAGGTTGATTTTTTTTTTCTTTTTTAGTACAGGAGTCCCCCCTTATCCAACGTTCTGCTTTCCTTGGGTTGTTACCTTGGTCAGCTGGGCCCCAAAATATTAAATGGAAAATTCCAGAAATAAACAATTCTTAAGTTTTAAATTGCATACCATTCTGAGTAGTGTGATGAAATCTCACGTTGTCTAGCTCTGTCCCACCCCAGATGGGAATCATCCACGGATCTGGCCTGTTAGTCACTTAGTAGCTATCTTGGTTATCAGAACACCGTCTTGGTTATCATGGTGCTTGTGTTCAAGTGACCCATATTTTACGTAATAATGGGCCAAAGTACAAGTGCAGTGATGCTGGCAACTTGGATATGCCAAAGAGAAGCCATAAAGTGCTTCCTTTAAGTGAAAAGATGTAAGTTCTCAACTTATTAAGGAAGGAAAAATAATCCTATGCTGAGGTTGCTAACTTGTACGGTAAGAATGAATCTTCTATCCTTGAAATTGTGAAGAGGGAAAAAGAAATTTGTGCTAGTTTTGCTGTCATACCTGAAACTGTAAAAGTTACAGCTATAGAGTGTGATAAGTGCTTAGTTAAGATGCAAAAGGCATTAAATTTCCACAAGATATTTTGAAAGAGACTACGTTCACATAACTTTTACTATAGTATATTGTTATAGTTGTTCTATTTTATTACTAGCTATTGTTGTTAATCTCTTGCTGTGCCTAATTTAGAAATTAAACTTTATCATAAGTGTGTATGTACTGGAAAAAAAACATAACGTATATAACGTTCAATACTATCCGTGGTTTCAGGCATCCACTGGGGGGGTTGGAATATGTCTCCCAACTGTTAAGGAGGGACTACTGTGTAAGGCTTTGTTTTCCATTGAAGTCTAAATACTCTAAGGAAGGAAAAGATAATACGTCATTTAACCCTTATTATAATTGAGTTCCTTTGGTTTCTTTTGGAGACCAGGTTTTTAAAGACCAAGGAAAGGCGCTGTCCAGAGGGAAAGTGGTACAGAAGAATGCTAGGGGCCTGCAGGAAAAGCCGTACCTACTTCATGATTTGTCCTGCTGTGCCATCTGGGCGTAATTTTGGAAACACATTGTTTCAGGATGAATCAGTTTAGTGATACACATATGAGAATTTTAGAGAACAAAACCAGGAAATTCCTGCATGGAGGGTGAAGTATTGCCTGGGCTGTGTTTCTTCATAAATAAATAAACCTTAATGACTGGGAAAGTTTAGCCAAAAAAACCCCATTATTAAACAAGTTGGTTATGAAACAATTCAAACTTCAGTTGTGAGGTTTGATTCTTACTGCTTGATTTCTATATTTATAATGTTATATACTTTTTATTATACTTTTGTATTGACTGTCTTCTCTAGAATTAAGGGATCTTTGTCTCCTTTGCTCACTGAGGTTCTGCAAGTACCTAGCAAGTGTCTGGTGCATGGTAGAGGATACATGAATACTTCATGAACAACTTAAATGAATTACTGTCTTTTCATGGATACCTTTTTAAAAAGAAATTGATATTAAAGATTTACTGAAAAACAGTTTGGCAACTTGCATCAAACATCTTAAAATGTGCTTAACTCTTGATCCAAAAAGACCTAAAGACGTAAGGAGAGTTCATATACAAAGCTATTCAAAGAAGTTTATTGATAACGGAAAACATGCAATAACCTAGATATTGTTTAAATAGAGAAATGATTAAATTATACTACATCCATAAACTGGAATGCACCCATTAATAGGTTTTTAAATTCAACAAAGTAGATTAAGTAAGAAAATCAGGATATAAAACAGTACATATACCACAGCATCAACCATTTAAAAATATGTGCATAGGAAAAAACTAGTATTAAATCCATTAAAATGTAAACAACACTTATTTCTAGGTTGCATATTACAACAGACTTACATTGCTTTTACAAATAGATAAAAAGAGATAAATTTTTGAAAAGATTTAATACTAGCACTTTCCCTAACACACTTTCCCTGTTTCTTCTTTAATGTGTCTTAGACAGGAATTTGTACCAAGACAATAGTTTATGGTTCCTCTTAGCTAACATGTTAAACATGGATAGATGCAAGTTTTCAGGGATATTTCATTTTAACTGGCATTTTTGCCTCTTAAGTGGTTTTCTCCCCCTTAGGAAACAAAGACTTTACATTTAGAATTGTTGCGGGGTAGCTGATATTCCTGTTCCTTCTATGTGAGGTTTACGGCCTTTACTTTTAAAGGAGAACATTTGTGGTCCTATACAGTAGTCCCTTGGTATCTATGGGGGATTAGTTCCAGGACCGCCCCCCCCCCCACCGCGGATACAAAACTCCGAGGAAGCTCGAGTCCCTTAATTAAAATGGAGTAGTATGTTCCCATAACCTATGCACATCCTTCCGTATACTTTAAATCATCTCTAGATTATTTATAATGCCCAATACAATGTAAATGCTATGTAAATAGTTGTAAATACAATGTACATGCTATGGAAATAGTTGCTGGTGTGAGGCAAATTCAAGCTTTGCTTTTGGAACTTTCCAGGCTTTTTTTCCCCAAATATTTTCTATCTGTGGTTGGTTGAATCTGTGGATGTGGAACCCATGAATATGGAGAGCTGACTGTACTTAACCTGTAGGATATTTTAGTAAGCTGTTCCTCCACTTTGATGTATAGTTGACCCTTGAACAACACAGAGGTTGGGGTGCTGACCCTCCACACAGCCAAAAATCCCCGTATAATTTATAGTTGGCCTTCAGTATTCTTGGTTCCACTGCATCCCAGTTTTGCACCCGTGGATTCAACCAACCACAGACTGTGTAGTACTGTAGCATTTATTGACAAAAATCTGTGTATAAGTGAATCCGCAGAGTTCAAACCCATGTTGTTAAAGGGTCAACTGTAATTGGTTAAAGAAAGAAATTGATGAGATTACTGAGGGCTGGTGGTGAGTAAGAAAACTCGTGTTCTTTAACTGCTGTTAAAGCGAATCATGCTTGAAGCAAATCATGCTTCCGTTTCCTCATTTGTAAAATGATGCCAATTACACTCCAAATATGACTAATGTGAAGGTCAAACAAGCTTCTATATAGTGGTACGTTGTAAGTGGTAAGTAAATGTTAATTATCAATTTGAATAATCTTGCTAAACAATTTTAGGTTTCATTAAAATAGATTATCAACTAAATTCTGACTATTCTAAAATGGCATCTAAAGTCCTAAGAATTTTAACAATATCAACTTAAAACAGAATACCTTAAACTAAAAAATCACTTTAAAAAAAGAGAACTGATAACCTGTATTGTAAATGATTCCCTTAATAATGTGTTTCTGAGATTTTGGCAGTAGGGGGCACCAAAAGAACTTCTTAGCTTGTCTGGCTCTTGGCACCTTCTGCTTATTTGGTGTCCATCAATATTTATAATGTATGTCAAAGTGTTTTGAAAACATAAAACACAATTCCAAGATGTTGTATTATAGTAAGAATGATATTAACAATGCTGTGATTACAATTAAGTACTTCAGTTCTGAAAAAAAGTTTTAATCTAGTGTATAAGCTACCTACAGTAGGGAGACATCTTCAGGATAATGGGGCCACTATGGAGTATTATGAAAATTACTATAGATTTATTTTATTATTTGCTTACAATTGAGTCTATTTGGCTAAGATTTTATTGAACGATGTGTAAATGACTAGAAAATTAAACGAATAATATTAAGAGCAGGAAAATACCTAAAGATAATAGCTCAGCTAGATTTTATTGAGAAGAGAATTACGTAATCCCATGCCTACTAAACAAGCACCCCCAGGTGGTTTTTATGCTCTGAAATGTTTGAGAACCATTACATAAATTGTAGTCAGCCTTAACAAAATCAAAGGAAAATGACAATTTAAATGTTATCACCTGCCCTAGAATAGTTTTGTCGATTTTGATAGAAATTAAGGAGAAACAAATATATACTTAGAAAAGAGACAGAAGTCAAAAGAGAAGCCTAAGAGATTAAATATATAAATACACTCACCTATTTCAGGAGTTTTATGAAAAAAGGGTGAACTCCAGGGCTGCCAGTACCTTTTAGCTTTTTCTTGACATCTTACTTGAAATACGTACTTAGTGTTTGGCTGCAAGTAGAATTCTGACTGTTGCGCGTATGTAAAATTGGTGTCAAATTCTTTAACCTAAAATGGATGAATAACCATAGTGAAATACCATAAAGATATGATGCACCGTGCTTTTAAAACAATTATTCCATTTAGCAGAAATGTATGGGACACTTATTTTGTTCCAGGACCCTGGGAAAACAGAGAGGAATAGGCTACTTTGTATAAAAGATGGCCAAAGATAATCAAATACGTGTTATTTAACCTTAAAAGTGAAATACATGTTGCTTAGTGTTTGACAACTCTTTCAAGCTTTTAAATATCAAGAAATTCCAAAATGTAATATAGTTTTAATTTTGGAACAGCTGATTTTAATAGGGTGGGAGAAAGGGGGACATAATAGCAATTGTTTGAATTCAGTCTTCCCTCCTCTCTCTCTCTCTCTTTCTCTGCAGTTGCATATTTAGATCAATAATTCTTCCTGAATGATGAAATAATTTCACTTGTGAATGATGACTTTTGGAAAAAATTACCTACAAACTAAGCTGTTAAATTGGTCCTTATTGCAGATCTATGCATTCTACAAGGATATATATATCCTTTCTCATATATATATATGAGAAAACAAAACAAAACATTTAAGACTGTTGAAACGTGAAAATCCAATGGAAGATAAGCAAGAAAATAGCTGAGGGATAAACTTAAAAATCATTTTTCTGGGACTACAACCTGCTATAAAATATAATGAAAAAGGACCCCCAGACAAGCTGGTTCAGATGGGAGAGAAAAACCAAGGCATTTACGCAGCACCTTAGTGTGTCGTAATAGTGGATCTACTGAAAAAAGTGAAGCACAATTGAAACGTAAACATAAAAAACGTCTAGGGCTTCCCTGGTGGCGCAGTGGTTGAGAGTCCGCCTGCCAATGCAGAGGACACGGGTTCGTGCCCCGGTCCGGGAAGATCCCACATGCCGCGGAGTGGCTGGGCCCGTGAGCCATGGCCGCTGAGCCTGCGCGTCCAGAGCCTGTGCTCCACAATGGGAGAGGCCACAACAGTGAGAGGCCCGCGTACCGCAAAAAAAAAAAAAAAAAATGTCTAGAAATGCATTTATTCAGCAACTGGGAGAGAACAGTCACCATGAAAGAGAAAGTTAAAACTATCACGATTAAAACACACACACACAACAAGGTATACACGTCATTTAGAGATTCTAATGTTAAAACCCAGTCTTAACATAAATCTTTAAAACTTGCAATGCATTGAAAATGTAAAAATCATAAACATATCTGTTTTGGGATATCACGTTTCCTGAAAGATATCATTCAGAGTTTCCGTAAGCCACATTTCTACCCACGGCCCTTGAAATTTTCTGCTCTTCTAAATATGACTGAAGGCCCCTAGAGGCTACTGGGATCCAGGAGAAATTTTTTTTTTTAACATCTTTATTGGAGTATAATTGCTTTACAATGGTGTGTTAGTTTCTGCTTTATAACAAAGTCAATCAGTTATACATATACATATGTTCCCATATCTCTTCCCTCTTGCATCTCCCTCCCTCCCACCCTCCCTATCCAACCCCTCTAGGTGGTCACAGAGCACCGAGCTGATCTCCTGTGCCAGGAGAGTTTTTATTAGTGCCAGAAGTTTGACTTCCATATGCACCCTGCTTCATATGAGCTTCTTTTGGAGGGGAGTTGCTGTTCTCCAATATGTCTCTTGCCATTATGTTTATAGATAAGTCCTCTAAGAAGAGAAATACCCTAAAGTACAGCCAGAGTTCTAAAATAGAAAGAAGAATTTTATGGAACTGTTAACAGTTGCTTCTACTAAGAGGCCAACCAGGTGCCTGCTTAGGGCCTTGCAAGCTGAAGATGGTACCTTCAAAATGATACTTTCAGAGGCTACAATAGTCATTGAGAGAGCTGGACCTAACTGTGTTCCTATGCAGAGGGTATGACCTCAAGGGCCAGAAATATAACTTTATTTTTATAGCAGCTGCTTTCTTTTTAGAGCCTCAATTCTGAAGGCGTGAGGCCTGGAAACTTAATCTCCATCATTTTGAGGTACATCTTTTCTTAGGGTTACACCTAAATTTCTGGGAGCATCCTTGGGTGAAGGGGAGAATCTCAACCTATTCAGAGTTCTATAATCCCAACTTCCTCTGACTTCCAACCTGGGGCATGGCCCAGATGAGGGGTCCTGCTCAGTAACCACCCAAGTCTAAACTCTTTTTGTTCTTCCCCCTTACCAACCTCTTCCCCTCACCCATTTCCCCTCTCTCTGCTCAGAAATCTTTATCTAGTCTTTGATGTGAGAGGGAAGGGGGATGGGGATTGAGAGAGCCAGTCATGACTAATCACATTTTCTTACAAGTCTTCTGTCCTATACTAGCATTTATACTTTTGAAATGCAAAGGCCAAGGATTTGAACCTTGGCTATCTGCCTGCTGTTCTATTAGCCATTCCAGGAAAAAAGTGAATGCTTGGTTTTGTGCAGCCCATGAGCTAAGAAGAGTTTTTACATTTTTTATATTGTTGAAAGAAAATCCAAAGAAGACTATTTCAATGATGCATGGAAATGATATAAAATTCAAATTTCAGTGTCCAAAAGTAAAATTTTACTGGAACACAACAATGTCCATTCATTTACATATTGCCTATGGCTACTTTTATGCTACAAATGCAGAGTTGAATAGTTGGGACAGAGATCTTATGGCCTGCAAAGCCTAAATTGTTTACTATTTGGCCCTTGAATAAAAAGTTTGCCAATACCCTGGTCTAGCTTAATCAGAGACTCGAGTCAATGTTAATCCATTCAGTTGAACTTCTAGTCAGGATTTCCCTACTTTACTATCACCGCTGTTGGCACCATTAAAGGCAAATAATAATAATACTAATAGCTAATGTGTCAAAATATTATCTGTGTGAACCAGACATTATAAATATCAATGGAAATACAAAAATGCTTATGGAACAGTCCTGTCTTCCAGGGACTCATAGTTAAAGGATGGGAAAATACACGTGTAAAATGGTAAATACAAACAACATGGTAAATGTTCCTGAGATAAGGTACACGGAAGTGGGCAAGGATGCCAGGGAGGTAGGGAGACAGTCCGTGAAGATAACCAACAAGTAGGTATTCTCCCCATGGTGTCAGCCTTGAAGGTTCACCTGAAGGACTGGCTGATACCTCGTAACTTATATGCAGCTTAGCTAAAAACAGCTGAAAACACCCTCAATGCACTGATTTTGATTTTCAGGTGGGCATCCTTGGCTCGACCACACCTGCTGCATGGCTCTCCTGGAGGTTAAGATGAAGAGGCAGTAACAGCCAGCATTTACTGAACATTAACTCTATTCCAGGCTCTGGACTAGCTTCTTCCATCATTTGATCATCCCCCAAACCATATGAGGTAGGTGCTTATCTTATCCCTCTTTTAGGTGTGGTAATAATGAGGCCCAGAGAAGCTAGGGAACTTGGCCAAGGCTGCACAACCAGAAAGTGGTAGAGCCAGGCTTTGAACTCCAGAGCCTATGTGCTTAGCCACAAGGCTTTGTGCATAGCTGTCTGCCACTTTGAAGTGAAGAGCTTCCTTCCATCAGTTATCTGATGCAGGCAGAGCTGAGGTGGAAGAACAAATCGGTAGTCCTTTGTGTCTGCCCACTCTTCATGACTCTCGCTTCCTGTCTCCTTACAAGGAGGTAAAGACAACATTTTATGCATGATCCAGATAAAACTGATGGGTAACAAATGTAAAAAACAAAGCATCATTCTGGCTGTTACCAACTGGACTTGGGTCATCTGTGTGAGTAATTACATTTGGAGGAATCATGGTAAAAGGGATAGGATACACATATTGAATTGAAACTGGTTCCTTCATTTTCCCAACATTTTGGGGGTGCCCAAAGTGATGTACGGTCTGTAAGAGGCATTAAGTTACTAACTCTGTAAGCTTGGAGAACCTGGCTTAAGCTCTTTTCAAGCCCTGTGTCCTCATTTCGATGATGGAGCTGATACTACCTATCATAAAAGATTGTGATGAAGATGAAACGAGGTAGCAAATATTCTTTCAGCTCCTCCATTTGCCTGCTTCTGATAAAGAGAAGGTTTTGAAAAGGGAACTCGGATTTACCTCTGAGTTAACCAAGTCTCACAGTGGCATATGTAGCACCACCAAGGGGAGCAGAGAACAAGAATTTCAACAAGAAAACAGTTGGTTTCTGAAAATCTATTCAGGCATACTGATACTGTAACTCCTTTCTATTTTCTAAACATTCTTATAGCTTATTATGCCAAATAAAGAAATTTCGTCTTCTCAGTATCATCCTATGACCCTGACACTACCCAGGTGTCTTATTAGAGTAAAGCCTTATCCACTCAGAATCTAGGATGAGAGTTTCATTTGGGTTGTTTTCAAATTTACCTAAATTCCACATATGCAAAAGATTGGCTGTGAAGTTTTTAATCTTGCTCGTCCTAGGCTTCAAGCATGGGGTTGCTGTGCACACAAGTGCTGCAGTTATTTAGTCAACGAGTCCAGCAGGCTCTTCATTTGGTTACTGACCAAATGTTGCAGAACATGGACTTACATCCAAGTGTAATCTAAACAACTAAAAGATCGCATTTCTCATGTACATTAACAAGGGTAAATAAACAACTTGGCATCCGGGATTTCTTTTTAAAGAGCAGTCTTTAGAGTATGTCATGAAATCAGTATAGTTTTACCCTCATTTTCTTGACACTCTTTAAACATATTGTTCTACAGCAAAGCCAATATCGTTCATGTTCAGAATGATGAAAACTTTGGAGCCATGTTAATCACCAGAGAATAAATACATATCATTTCACTTAACTCTCTGAAAACTGGTAAATTCATACGTGACACATAACTATTAATTAAGCAAAGCCATAAACTCCATTCCTTAATTATTTTGACTAAATGCCAGTTTATTGTACTTAAAAATAATAAAATGGCATTTGTTTTCAAATACACTAAAATTGGTACTTTTTCTTCAGCCAGGCTAGTGTTACCCTGTAGTTCAAATTAGTGAGTTTTTATTATAATGTTCACAGGTGCTGTCATGTGATGCGATTTTATTAATGAACCTTGTACCTATGCCTCTCCTAAGACGCTTACTAACTTACCATTGGTATTTAAGGGTGATTAGTTTGCCTAGACATTCACTTTTTACCTTATGCTCATCTAAGACTAATATAGTAACAAATTTTACATTTTGGATTGCACATTTTTCATTTAAAAAGAGACACCCATAAATCTGAAGTTCTTTGAACAGATTTTATTTCCCTGGGTGGCTGTTAAATTTCAACATAGAATACTTACATTTTATATTCATAATCACTGATATAAATTTCACCCTAAGAGACCGTGAATTACAAGGAGCTAAAGAGATGAATCCGTCCTAGTTGGAATTTGTCTGTTTAGCAGTTTACAAAAGGCAAGAGACCTTTTCAGGAAACACCTCTCTATTTGGAAGCATCATTCTTAAAAGTAGAGTGGTTTGAATATTACATGAACAGTCAGATAAAAACATGTAAAATAGATCATTATACATCCACTGTGGTCACTGACTATTGGCTGGCTTTTCTTTCACTCACTTACATGCAAAAGAATAGTGAAAGTGAGCTTACGTTCCAAGTTTGGTTTGTTGTCGCCTTGTATCTCATTTCACAGGAAACCTTTTCAATTGATGTTTGACTATTCCAGTGGATTATGGTTTTGGGCACTGTAGTATTTATATCCTCAGTCCTGGAAATAATGGATGCAGAAGGTATCACTAAAGAAAAACAAAAACAGAAATCCAGCAGCTTAAAACTTGCCTAGGGAGAAATCAATATTTTTTCATCAATATTTAGAATGTTAAAACTCAAAGTACCAAAAAAAAAAAAATCTCATGATCTAATTAACATGAAACTTTTCTTGTTTTCTAATCTATTATGTAGGAGAAAACTGCTGTTCTTAAGTAAAATTCTGTTCCACCCATTCTCCATTTCTGTTAAATGGAGCTCTGTCTTGTCCTTCCCCACCTCATACTCACTCCCCTGTATTCTGAACTAATGAAATTCTGAAGCCTGGCCTATTAACAAAAGAATGTAAAAAGGAGGTAAAGAAGATATCTCTTCTTTCCTGCATCTGTTTAGGGAGAAATGATGTTTTGCATCCTAAATTTAGTTCAGAGAATCTAATTTGGTAAGATGTAAAATCAAGATCGTTCACAATAATATTTTTATTCTCTTGTGTCATAGGGAAACTTGTATGAATATTTTTATTGCTAACTCTTGTTATCTATTAAAATAAATCTGTACTTGAAAGTATGATTTGAACAAGGAGTCTCACAAGACTCTTAGACTTTACAAATTATTGCTGTGTTCTGTGATTATGATTTTCAAAAGGAAACTGACATTCTGATTGGTTATCTTACTAGTTATTTTTTGTAGTAGGTGTAATGGTGTAACTGGAAGCTCTGTATTTCTAAACTGTGTAAATTCTTGCAAATTTATTCTGTCTGAACAGAATAAAATCATGGGCATTTCCCATTTCTCCTATATGCATAGTAGAACAGTGAAAACCTATAACTTTGTTAGATGTATTACTTAACAAAGAACTCAAGAACCTGTATGTGTGTTTTTAGAGGCCATTATTACAGCTTAATATTCTCTATGACTTAGTTTCCTTTTTGTTTATTCTAAGTTTATAAAGTATTCTTTGGGAAATTTGTTTTATTTTCAGTGAATAATATTATCTAAAATTATGTGCACAGATATATGATTTGTAGAAAAATATAAAAATTAAAGATTTGCTTTCTAGTAGCACTGACCTAAAATAAAATCCTTGGGCTAAACCCAGTATAGAACATAAGTAGTAGTAGCAGGATTAATCTAATTAAAGAGCTTACCATACTGAAGTTTTATCATCTGAATTCCATAGGTGGTTTCCTTTTGCTAGTTTAAGCTTCTTGTAATGAGAATCAGAATTCAGAGATTTCTAGAGTCAGGGAAGTGGATCTCCGGGGCTCTGAAACCACTTGGGACCATTTAAGCACCCTCAAGGCTACAAATTACCTACCCCCTCCTGTCTCCCACCTCTGAGTGTGACCTGCCACAGACGTAACAGCACAAGCATTCCGAGACCCTTTTGCAGAAAGAGATATTCTGGGGAGGAAGCAAAAGTCTGCTTAGTCCTATGAGAAACGTAAGTTGAGTTTAAGATAGAGTCTTAGCACAGAGCAGATCGGTGCAATAGAGATCTGACGGTTTAGGTTTGAATGAGCTTATATTTTTCAAATAAAAACATGTTATGTAATATGTACTTGAACATTAGTTTGTTACAGAAGACTCAGAATGTTGAATTTTTGCTCTTATTGCTTTGGTTTCATACATTCCCATTAGATCTTACATTTTTTAAAAAAACCGTCAATTCCATCGTAGATGCCATATCTTTAGTTTCCACTTATATTGAAATAAAGAACCATATTGTAGTTCTTTGGTGTCTTTCGAACAGCATGTATTTACTTATAATTATTCAGTGGGGAGAACTAATGTTCAAGATGGCAGCCGGAAGGCACTGCATTTTCCATATTGAAACTTATTTCTCTATAAGAGAAGTTTAAGCATTCCTCTCACATGTCATTTTGGCAGTGTTACTGCACTCTTAATTCAGCCCTGCCTTTCAGCATATCTTCCTAACTTAATTAAAGACCAATCCCATAGCCGTTATGTGGAAATTGCTCCCAGGAGAGTTCCCTGTCTTCAGTTTCATAGAACAGTTCATATATCTAACTTGCAATGTCTCATTCTTAAAGGGCCACAAATGAATATAGTTCATCCGTTAATAACCTAGGGGCTCTGTTGGGAGTAGCCTCCTACACTGTCAACCTGTGCTTTTCAACCTGAGTTTCTAAGAGTGCATTTTGGGATACTGAGAAAGGAGGAAGAGAAGGAGGTGGAGTAACTCTAAACAAGAGGCTCCCTGGTTCAGTGTGAAAAGCAGATTTGGAGGTGACAGCCAGATGAGATTTTCCCTTTATGGGAGGTGGGGTGCTGGTTAACTACAGCAAGTCGGCAAGTCTGAGATGACATCTGGCTCTCCTCCTTCCTAGCTATGTGCTTTGAGCAAATTATTTTATCTCTTTCTTCGTCTGTAAAATGGGCACCATTTACCATGCATGATTGTTTTCAGAATTAAATGTGATTTGCATGTTAATTGTCTGGAACACTATAGGTGTTCAATAAACGGATGCAATGACACTAAGATCATAATAAGATAACAATGGTAATAATAGCAGTAAGACTAATAGTAATAATCTAGTTCCTAAAAATGATACTGCCAAAATGATACTGAACACAATAGCCTTTAAACATCATTAATCCATTGAGGGGAACCTGTTTTAAGATAAGGGCATGTTATGGCTATATCCTACCTCAAAATGTAAACTTACAAAAATGTGGAGAACTATAAGTCCAAGAATATACAGTACAATGGAGTTACTATTCACCACCATAGTCAGCAGTGTTTGTTTTCAAAGCCAATATTCATAGCATAAGGACAGATTTTTAGACCAATCTTATTAGTTGAGATAGTTCAGTTTAGTTGAGACGTTGAGATATTAGTTCCAATAAAAGACCCCAGTAGTCCCCAAAGGATACCCGTGTTGTGCCCCAAGAGGTGTCACATCCCCTAGAACATTAATCAGCAGGAAAGTTGTCAGACACATTGCAGTGTGCTTTAAATAAAGACTGAGGATAGGAGTTGAGGATACTAGAACTAGAGGCTTCCTAGCTCTGCAAACTCAACTTCTAATGCCACCTAGCCTTGGTTTCCTCATGTGTAAATTATAATCTCTTCTACAGAATAGGACTGTTGTGAGGGTTAAATAAGATAATGTATGTAAAAGCAGTTAGCACTGAAGAAAGTGTGCCATAAATGTTAGCTACTGAAATCATCTTTAATAACAAAAACAGGAATAATTGGCACTAGAATCTCCAGAGAGAAGGTGATTCACACTTGGTGCTCTTTGGCTGTACTCTGGCTTTAGGACTACGATATAGTTGTAAAAGGCTCAAGGGCAATCACTTTTTGGAAGTTATCTTAAGGAAAAAAACAACTACTATGCAAAAATTCAGCCAAAAGGTTGTCCATGGCAGTGCAGTTTATGATGGTGAAAAATTGAGAACAATAATAAGGGACTAATTAAAGATATTAATTAAAAAAAGATTATAGATTAAATTAATAGAAATATATATTCTATATTGTTATTTTTTTAAAGGCAAGTTCTAAAATACCTGAAGCAAAAAATGTTAACTTTTGTTGAATCTGGCTGGTGTACATAGAGATGTCTACATAATTCTCCACAATTTTCTGTTTTTTGTAGAACTTTTCAAACAAAATCAAACAAAAACATAACTTCCAAAATAGCATATACAGTAGAATGCTTTAGTATGCTGTACTTCTCACAACATAAGACTCATCACACTTTATTATAATCCTTATTTCTTTCCCTCTTCCCTGGTAGATTGCAAGATGTTTAGGACAGGAAGTATCTTCCTTGTCTATCTCATTCTCCCTAGCCCTTAGAACAATGGTTAAACATAAGAAGTTCTCAGTAAATATTGTGAAAAGACATACCTCATGTAGAAATAAGACTGGAAGAATATACAACACAATGGCAGCCTTACTTATCTTTGGCTTGTCTCAGGCAGTGACTTATGGGTAATTCTTTTTGTCTGTATCATGATCTTCAGGAACTTTAGGGAAACTCTTTTCAAATCTCAACTTCATTTGATTAGGTCAGAACAAATTAGTTGTTTATTCGTAAAGCCATTACAGAATTTCTTTTTCTTTACCTATGTCGTCCAGGTGAATTTGCACTTGTTTTGACTTCTCCGTGCCCAGTACATTTGAAGCTTGGACCCAAACCAAATACTTCTTGCCACCTTGCAATGAATCAGTGGAGATGTTAACATAACTTGAAGTGAGATACTCTTGCTCTTCTTCTGTCTCTAAACTTAAAAAAAAGATTATGATCACCAGTTATGTTGGTTTGAATTAATTATTCCTCAATTTTTTTGATGCTATCTTTTTAGCTAGCTTTCAGAAGGCAACCTTTTACTTAAAAATGAATCAGAATTGGTTTCACTTTTAGAATTTTTTAAAACAAAGTCAAGACCATCCAGGGCCACAGTATGACTTTCATGGGCCCTAAGCACTTTTGCCTTCATAGACCCCTTCTCCCATTAACATAAAAAAGTTTATATGTGTGTAGGTATGTTTATGTTTATATATATATATATATATATATACACACACACACACACACACACACATATTCATATAGATTATGTTTCACAACTGCTGATATAAAAGCAACTATATTAATATCACATATTAAACCATTTTCTTTGACCTAATGGTTCATTTTTTCCTGTGATTTTAAATGCAATTAAACATCCTGTAGACTCCTGAAAGTATGGCTAGCCCTGGGTACTATGCCTACTGTACCTCTTTGGGAAGGGCAGCTGTGGACATGGCTTGAATTAAATGAGCTCCCTCTGAGAAGGAGCATTGCACAGGGGTTCCATGCAAGGGCTTTGTAATAAGGAATGCTAACTTCATGGTAAATAAGTATTCAAATGTGAAAATAAGAGAATGGCAACTATGTGTAAGTAGTAAGTAGGGCATCTTTGAATATTTTCCAGTTAGAGAAAACCACATACATGTTGTTAATTGGTTTGTGGCTAATTCTTTTATCACACGTATTGAGACCACAAGTCAAAATGGAAATGTATTCTCAAACCGACATTAACCATAGTTACTAGGCAATTTAATTCTTCTTTTAAAGTCTACCCCTCATATCAGCACCTAGACCACAAAGCACTATTTTAGATGAAGAATCTAATTGTAATGACTGACTATATACTTTAGGACAATTTTTGCATACAACTGTATGTTACAAAGTTTTTTTCTGTTTGTTTCTTTTCTTTTTTTTTTTTTTTGCGGTCCGCAGGCCTCTCACTGCTGTGGCCTCTCCCTTTGCGGAGCACAGGCTCTGGATGCGCAGGCTCAGCGGCCATGGCTCATGGGCCCAGCCTCTCCGCAGAACGTGGGATCCTCTCGGACCGGGGCATGAACCCGTGTCCCCTGCATCGGCAGGAGGACTCTCAACCACTGCGCCACCAGGGAAGCCCTGTTACAAAGTTTTTTAAATTTCTTACTTCTATTTCTTTTTTTCTTGTGCTAACTAATACATAACAGATTATTTGTTGAAGGAGTCAGCATGATTTATATTTTTCTGAAGTTTCCATTGCACCTAATCCTAGTTGTAGTTAATAGATTTTTAATAAACACTGCTGATTTGTGGTGATAATGGTGAACAGTACTTTTTAATTTAATCATTCATTCAAAAAATATTTAACACCCACTATGTTCCAAGCGCTACTTTAGTCACTGGGGCTACCACAGTGAACAAAGCAGGTAAAGTCCCAACCTTTGTGGAGCACACATTCTGGTGGAAACAAATGCATATATAATATGTCTTGTGGTGATAAACATTCAGAAGAGAAAAGAAGGAGGTTAGGAAATGCTAGGAGTAGATGTGGGTTTTTTTTTTTTTTTTTTTTTTTTTTTTTTTTTTTTTTTTAGGGAGATTGGGAAGATCTGAGCATCTGAGAAGGTAACACTAGAGCAGTAAAGAATCAGGTCTTGTGGCTCTTTGGAGCATTCTAGGTGATATGCAAAGGCCCTGAGGCAGGACCTTGCCTGTCCTGTTCAAGAACAGTAAGGAGGTCATTGAGGCTTGGTAGACTGAGGGATGGAAAGGGATGAGATGATATCAGAGAGTCCTAGAGGAGTGGGAGATTTAGAAGGCATTGTAAGGTCACATAAGGCCATGGAAGGACTGCCTTTGATCTCTGAGTGAAATGGGAGATTTTGAGCAGAGGAGTGACATCTGATGTGCATGTGAAAAGGATTACTCTGACTACTTGTGCATAATAGACTGTGTAGCAGGGCAAAGGTGAAGGGTAGAGCACCAGTTTACTAATGCAGGTGAGAGATGATATGGCTTGGATCAGGCAGTGAGAAGTCAGTTTTTTAAAGACAGATCCAGTAGGTTTTGCTGATCAGTTGAATGAGGGGGCATGTTAGAGAGGAATCCAGGAGGACTCCAATGATTTTAACCTGAATACTGCAAAGGATGGTGTTACCACTTACTGAGATAGGGAATGCGAGTCTGGGGAAAGGAAACTGGGTATTTGGTTTTGAAAGTGTTAGCTTGAAAATACATTTTGGACATCTAAGAGGAAATACTGAGTAAGATGTTAGATAAATGATGGCTGCATTGCAGGAGAGATATCTAGACTGGAGATATAGATTAGGGAGTTTTACACCATAAATTTGGGTGAGATCTTTTAGGTAATGAATGTAGATAGAGATAATAAGAGGTCCTAGGATAGAGCTCTGGGTCACCATTACTTTACTGGAATAAAGGGGAACTGGCAAAAGAGACTGAGAAAAAGCATCCAGGAAGGTAGGAGGAGAACCAAAATGGAGTGCTGTCCTGGAAGCCAAAAGAAGGAAGTAAAAAGCTAAGTTAAATGTTCCTGATGGTAAATCCTCCTGATAAGGAGGGTGGGGACTGAGAATAAACCATTGCATCTGGCAATGGGGAAGTCATTAGTGACACTGCTAAGACCTGGAGGTGAAGGGCAAAAACTTGACTAGATTAAAGAGACGATGAAAAGAGAGGAAGTAGAGGCAGAAAGTACAAACAACTCTTTTGAGGAGTTTGCCATAGAAGGAGCAGAGAAATAGATTAGTGGAAGGCAAGGACCAAGGGAGGGTTGTATTTTCAAGAGAGCAGATGCTACAGCATCTTTGAAAGCTGATGAGGAGATCCAGTAAAGATAGAAAAGGCGATGATACAGAAGAAAGGAGTATTGTTGGAGCGATGTCCTCTAGTAGGCAGGCAGGGTAAGATCTAGTACACAGTGGAGAGCTGGCATCAGGGCAATGGTAGTTCATCCACAGTACTAGAAGGGAAGACCAAGTATGTGGGTACAGATGTCAGTGTGTCAGCAGATGAGGGAGGCTGTGGTATTTCTCATTACTCCTATTTTCTCAGTGAAATAGAAAGCAGGTCATCAATAGAGTGAGGAAGGGGAGAAGATGTTAGAGACCAGAGATGAAAGAAAGAGTAATGAAATAATTACCCGGTTAGTGGGGGAGTGACTTGACCAGTGAAGTGTAGTAGGACTACTGGGTGGCTACCTGGGTCCAGGTGAGGTGAGTGGTCATGAATATAAAGTAATATCAGTCAGTAAGTTTGTGTTTGTCCCCAGCCACAATTAGCTCTCCAAGCACTGGTGCAGAATTGGTGAGGAGATGGATTTTAACATATGAACTGGTTATTGAACTCAGTAGAAATATAACATCACAGCCTCAAATATATTTGGAATTATATCTAAGAACTCTGGTTATAATGAATATGCATATGGAGAGGAAGATGTGGCAAAAACAAGCAGGCCTTATGAACTGGAAGAGTAGGCAGTTGTTTTTAGGGGTCTCATTAAAACTAAAAGACCCTGGGCTTCCCTGGTGGCGCAGTGGTTAAGAATCTGCCTGCCAATGCAGGGAACACGGGTTCGAGCCCTGGTCTGGGAAGATCCCACATGTCGCGGAGCAACTAGGAATGTGAGCCACAACTACTGAGCCTGCACGTCTGGAGCCTGTGCTCCGGAACGGGAGAGGCCACGACTGTAAGAGGCCCGCGCACCACAATGAAGAGTGGCCCCCGCTCGCCACAGCTGGAGAAAGCCCTCGCACAGAAACGAAGACCCAATACAGCCAAAAGATAAATAAATAAATAAATAAATAAATAAATAAATAAATAAAAAGTGGAAGTGTAGCAGTTACATAATAAGAATAATACAATATCTAAAACAAAAAACCAAAAACAAAAAATTAAAAGACCCTATTGGTCTTTCATAGTACCTGAAAATTCTACCATTGGTGCTGTTCTAAACAGTTTATAAACTTGTCATGCACCGACATGTTGCGTATTTTAAAAATTTTTCTAGCATTTAACATAGTTCCAAGAAGACATGAAATACTAAATAAATATTTGTTAAATTGACTTGAATAAAATAGAATGAAGGGCCATCATGCACTTATTTTCATTCAACAAGTTATTTATTTTCATTCAACAAGGTACTGTGCCAGACATTGCAAGAGTATCCAAGGTAAAGAAAGAACGTATTTACATGAAGCTGTTGAGCGTAATGGGACAACAGTAAGTAGATATTTATTAGCAGAGATTCATTTCTTTTCTTCTATCACCACCCACTGGTACATAGCAAAATACAAAGGGGTTGAGGAGTGTATGTGAATGGACATGCAGCTGTGCTGGTGGGGTCACCACAAAGGTTCTGGGGAGAAGGAAGACTCTTGAAGCAACACAGACACAATTCCTCTACTTTACAACTTCAATCCAACACCAGACGGAGGCCCTGATGGCCCCTATGCTGCCATAGAGGGAATGCCATCTTTCTGCCACTGTGGAAACAAGTGGGTGGGCTGAGGTGAAATGCCTCTCTCTATATGTGATTTTACTGGAAAACAGAACCACATGAGTTGGAAGTGAAACCTTGCAAATGCTGATCTCTACCTATCTGCCCAAGTGGAAAATACCCTGAGAACCCAGGATCTAGAAAAGGCTTTTTAAATCTGATACCACTTCAACCACAAAATTCATTATAACTCACCTTTTTCCTAGGGGGAAAGGCCTTCTTAACCATAAGTTAGAAAAACGGATTTCTCTAATTTTTCTCAACTCGTGGGTGCATTTTTAATTAATTGTAAGACAAACAGATGTTTATTTTCTTTTCCAATTTGTCTGTGCTTATAGGAGCTCATTCTTTGAATTTGCTAGAGGAGAACATTTGTTTTTATGGTAACCCTTCACATCTTTTATGATAACCTATGATGAAGTTTTTAAAAAAATGATAAAAT